GGAAGTATCGTTTCTTCTTTCCAGGTTTTCAATGTGGATCCGATACCAACCTCATGTCCATTCAAAGACGCTCACGTCAATCCCTCCATCAAGGATTACTACCGACACTACAACGTGAGTTATTTCGTTAATTCTAATACTTCCTTTACTAGATTGAATTTTTCTTCCAATTTTTTTTCTTTATAGATTCGTGACTTTGAGTATAGTCGCGTAGAAGAGCGGAAGGATACCAAATGGACTGCGGTGAAGGATTCGGAGCTAATGCGGACTTGGATCGTCAAACGAACAGTTGTAACATACGAAAGATTACCGGGTATCCTGCGATCAACACAGGTAAATTATTATGAAAATTGTGGACCTAAAAGGTTATGGGTGACTCGCGCCATACTCTCCTTTGAATTACGGGTTTAATAGCTGCATCTAAAAGCAACAACAATCACAAAAGATGTGTGCATAGAGCACAGTGAACTTCTTAATCACAGAAGAGTGGCTCTTACAAACAGAGATATTCCCATTGCAGATGTAAAGAATTCTCTGATAATCGTCGGATGTTTGTTCTTCGTGCGCCATAACTTTTACCAAAATGTTGCAACCGTTAATTTTTGAACAATTCTCAGAAGACAATTCCTAAAGAATCACTAAAATTGGTAAAGCCATCGGCGTCGATGGTTCCATTTTTTCGTTCTGCTCCTATTCAAAATCATAGCAGCCTTCACTAACTCATTCATTTGGGAACAAGGAAAATCTTCAATCTGGCGGCAATGATGTCTTTCCTACAGATAATCTCCACTTCACCACCAATCTACGTGAATCCGTTGCGACGTTCGGTCGATCAGATGCAGCGAAAGAACGCAGAGCTGATGGAAACGGCTTTATTGGTGCTACTCAATCGCATTCATGCTGTGAAGAAGCTGTCAGGGGAAATACTTGGTGTAGTCCGTCCAGCTGTAATGGGTGGTGTCAGCAACTATGAGGTAAATCAACTTTTGTATACATTATCAAATGAAAGGAGTCGACCTACTAGTGTTGAAGGTGTTTTTCTCTGACGAATGCTCCAGAATCTATGACTCAGAAGAGAAGCAGCTTGCCATGCACCTGAGCGCTCTAATAATCGAACAGGTGGTTGCAACCTTCACTTACTTATGCCTTTATTTGAACTCTGAAATTATTAATCGCATCACTGTTAAGGTGGAGATTCTGGAATTCTGCTTGTATGCCCATGCAACGCGTACAGAAATTACCAAACAATTTCATGACCATCTTGTCGAAGGATTCTTTGAACACAAACAATACGTCGAGGACAAGTTTGGTCGAACGGTAAATTTAATGGTTCCTTGTTCCAGGCATCTTCTTCGTTATAGAGGGCGATAGAAACCCTGGTCTCTTCCCTTCGGATCGCGACGTTTTCTCCAAACCTCTGCTCAGAGCTTTCTTGTTTTGCTTTAAGGTAAGGATTGCTGAGCTATATCGTAAAATTGATCGTGAGAATCGTGCTTTCTTCTACTACTACCTTGTGGCCTTCTATGGGAAGGGATTTCCTAGCTATCTGAACGGGATCAGGTTCGTTACTCAATCAATCTTTATCACATGAACTTCATGTAACAAGCTAATTGAAATGGCAGCAATAAAATCGGAAACAAGACATCAAGGTAGATTACACTAAACAGAACGTAGATGGAGCCTTAGCTGTCTCTAGAAGCCCGCTAGAGGTCCAGATACCTTTTTTTGCTCATTTCTTTAAACTCCCAGCCCGAAAAGTGAAGAAGTTACTCCTTAAGGGGGAGTTTGGCCGAGGAAGACTCATTCTGAGTGTTGTTTGACCACTTTTTGACGAAATATCGAATTCGAAGAAATCACTAGCTTTCGAATAAACTATACCATTCTTCTTCAATCTATTTATCCTTTGTGTTTTCTTTGAAGCTATGGCTCAACAAAATTATTTCTCTCATAATATACTATGTCGGTCCATTATGTTATTGCAGTTTCGTGTTCCGCAGTGACAAGTTGGAACGCCACGCCGATTTCATGCAGCGAATGCAACAGGTTCAGTTTTCTGCATCTTTGCGAACTTGAGTACAAATTGATAAGGAAGGCACAAGCAGTTTGTGAGATCTTGAATGTGTTTAGCCCTGTGTCCCATTTTCGGGAAAGATCGGTCGAAATCCAGTGATCTTTCGATCATTTTTTTAAATCTTGGCCAATGTTTTTCAATGGTTATGAGGTTTTTTTTTGTTCTGCAAACAATTGCAGTTTGAAAATTTTGTGGTTTTATTTTGCTCTCGAATTCCGGACGGATAAAGTTTTTTCTAGCAGTGCCATGAGTTTGTGTATTGGCTTTCCAGATCTATGGTGGTCCCGAAGCAATCATGTCCATGGACGATTGTTCACATCTGAAAAATTCTCCTGGACGATATATGCAGGTTCGAGATTTTTTCATCGGTTACACTCCGTTAACCTGAACGTTAAGGAAGTATCGTTTCTTCTTTCCAGGTTTTCAATGTGGATCCGATACCAACCTCATGTCCATTCAAAGACGCTCACGTCAATCCCTCCATCAAGGATTACTACCGACACTACAACGTGAGTTATTTCGTTAATTCTAATACTTCCTTTACTAGATTGAATTTTTCTTCCAATTTTTTTCTTTATAGATTCGTGACTTTGAGTATAGTCGCGTAGAAGAGCGGAAGGATACCAAATGGACTGCGGTGAAGGATTCGGAGCTAATGCGGACTTGGATCGTCAAACGAACAGTTGTAACATACGAAAGATTACCGGGTATCCTGCGATCAACACAGGTAAATTATTATGAAAATTGTGGACCTAAAAGGTTATGGGTGACTCGCGCCATACTCTCCTTTGAATTACGGGTTTAATAGCTGCATCTAAAAGCAACAACAATCATAAAAAAGATGTGTGCATAGAGCACAGTGAACTTCTTAATCACAGAAGAGTGGTCTTACAAACAGAGATATTCCCATTGCAGATGTAAAGAATTCTCTGATAATCGCCGCATGTTTGTTCTTCGTGCGCCATAACTTTTACCAAAATGTTGCAGCCGTTAATTTTGAACAATTCTCAGAAGACAATTCCTAAAGAATCATTCAAATTGGTGAAGCAATCGGCGTCGATGGTTCCATTTTTTCGTTCTGTTTCTATACAAAATCATAGCGGCCTTTTTATGTGATAGGTGCTCTTAAGTTGCTCGCCGAATTTGACCAAGATCACGCTGGGGCTAGTGAATCATTCGTAAGTGAACGGTTTGCTTATTGCTATTGGGACGGAATCTGTTTGAAGGTCTGACTCCTGGTTTTTGCGTGGCAAGCGGCGTCAATTGTCATTGACTCAACTTATTTGGGAAAAAGGAAAACCATCAATCCGGAAACGCGTCTTCTTCTAAAATAACTGTGATCGGGCACCTGTGCTGGCGAATGCTGTCATTTACTCGACCAATTAGCCAGGATATTGCGGCGATTTTTGGAGTTGCCTTCT